AGAAAAAAAGAAAAAAAAAGAAATTATTTATCTGGGAGGAAGGTATAGCTCAGTGATAGAGCGTTTGCTTAGCATGCATGAGAGCCTTGGTTCAATCCCCAGTACCTTCACTAAAATAAACAAATAAATAAACCTAATTACCTCCCCCCAGAACAAAAACAAACAATAAGAAAAATATTTTTAAAAAATAACATGTAAACGCTAATGGTTACACACATGTAACACGTAAATTTTAAGCTGCAGAGTATCTCCAGCAAGTTGATATGTCTGCTGTGAAGCAAGATCTATTCTGTGATAACTGCTATTAAAATCTTAACAGTCAGTATGTTTATTCTATTAGAAACCCAGAAAGTTACTGCAAGAATTGGACCAAGGGTTTCAGTAGCATAGTTTAACTTGTCAAAAATATAAAAAGAAAGAAAGAAAAAATAAAAAGAAGGAGTAAAGGCAAAGCTCACAGTAAACTTCCCTGGATTAAAGTTACAAATCAGTTCCTAGCTATAAAAGAAAAGAAAAAGTCGACTCAAATTACATCTTTGGAATTACATTATTGTAAAATTGAATCTAGAAAAGTGCGGAGAAAATACAGCAAAGAGATGAAAGTAGACGAGCACACAGAGCGGAGCGGAGCAGGAGCGCGCACAGGGTGTGTGGGTGGGTGTTAAACTTTGCAAGCGAGCGCTACAAACAGAATAGAACAATGGGTATTGAACGCGGCATTTGACAGATCGACACTTCGACAAAGAGGAACTGGTAAGAACCATATGGTTGGTTCTGTCCTAACACAGTCTTTGAAAGAAGGACACTATCTATTCTACCTAAAAATGGGTTAGTAGTGATATTCAAACATTTCTGAGCAGAGGAGCCTTTTTTTTTCCCTTAGCATCCCCGGATTTGTGCTGTTGCACCTAAAACACTCCTAGAAGCCCCTGGGGCGGCGTCTAGGAAACTTGAAACTCTAGTGACCAGGTCAAGACCCACTGAGGGAGTGAACTCTGTCAAAGATCCTAATGCAATCTGGGGAAGGTAGGCAGAACCTGGACAAGGCTCCGAGCTACAGCCCGTCTGATGTCAGCGCTGGCCAGCCGGCCCCGGGGCTCAGTCCTCCTTCCTTTTACTGTCCTGTCCGCGCTCCCCTTGCTCCCTGCCTGAGGCTTACAAACCAGGCTGCCGACGGCCCGCAGGGTCAGCCCTCCTCACGCTCACAGCCAGCACGGCGAGCAGGTCGGTTGGGTCTGGCCTCCAGACTTGCCTAGAAGCAACCACTTCCCGCCGCGGCTGCAGGCGCCATCTCTCGTGCTCGGACGGCTG